CTCGCCGAGGCCTCTTGGAGCATCTTGGGTGCATCTGGGGGGGCTCTTGGGGCCTCTTGGGGGTCTCTTGGGGGCCTCCGGGGGGCCTCTTGGGGGCCTCTTGGGGCCATTTTGGGGCCATCTTGGGACCTCTTGGGGCTTCCTGGGCGCTTCTTGGGGCCATCTTGGAGGAGATCGATCAAACAAGAGGGGGGGTTTAATTAGCGCCCCCCCTCGGAAGCCCCTAAAATCGCCTCTTGGACCCCTCTTGGAACGCTCTTGGAGTGCTCTTGGGCGCTCTTGGGGCCGTCTTGGGGCTCTTTTGGGGCTCTCTTGGGGCCCTCTTGGGCCATCTTGGAACCATCTCCAGGCCTCGGATGGCCATCGGAAGCGAAAAGGCGAGAAAGCAAAAATCATTGATTTTCCTTAGGTTTTGGGACGATTTTGGCCTCTTCGGGGCCTCCTTGGGGAGCTGTTTGGCCACTTGGAGTTATCTTGGGGCCGTCTTTGGGCTTCTTGGAACCATCTTAGGAGCCATCTCGAGCGATCTTGCGCTATCTTGAGCCATCTTGGAGCTCATCTTGGGTTCTCTGAGGCGCTCTTGGAGCCGTCTTGGGCCATCTGGGACGCTCTAACTACCCGCGGCCCCCCCCGTCCAGGTCCAGGGGAGGGGGTAGGGGGAGGGGTAAACCCCTCCCCAAGGGGGAAGAGGGAGGGGTGGAAGAGGATCTGCTCTAGACCACCTACGCCCAGAGGGCTGGTGGGATTTTTGCTTCCCGCGTAATAGCTGGATCTTCGTCTGAGTGCAGGCTGCTAGACCCCGTCGTCGGTTGCACATATCGCAACGCCTGGAATTCCAAGATCGGGTAGGCGTGCGAGGAAGACGATGCAGCGACGAACGTAGAGGCGCAGACGTGGGAGAGAGAGAGGGAGGAGGGAGAGGGACAACGAGGAGGTGAGCAAACGGGCCATGGTTCAGACGATGAGGGAATTGATGTAGATCACACGTGCCTGATTTCACCGGAGCGCCTGCAGAAGTTCACTGTGCTGGACTTGCTGCAGCCTTGCAACCCACAGGTCTCCGGGCGCTTCGCCCGCGTGATCGTCACGGCGACCGTGCTGAAGATGGCGTCGCTTCCTCCCGGAGGCTGGATTGCGATACTCGGGGGCCGGCGCCAGTCCTCCGCCGCCGCTCCGAGCGTGTTGATTCTAAGAAAGAAAACGTACCCTTCTTGGGCCGCCTTTCGAGCGCTTTAGCTCCTGAAAAGAAAGGGTCCCCCCTCGCCCGTTTTCCCCTTTGTTGGGCCTCCTGGGAGGCCTTCGTCGCCGCCGCTGGAGTCGCCTCGAAGTCCTGGTCAGAACGCACCCCAGGAGAGGTCCGGGGAGCAGCGGTATCGGTGCCTTTTGGTCTCCCCATGAATCAGCTGAAGGCGAACTCACTTGCATTCCGTGTCCCCCCCCCACCCCCACCCCGGCCACACCAGCCCCCTCGTCAGTTTCCCCAGTTCTTTGCACTGAGTCGAGACGATATGGTGTACAAGTCAGCGCCGGCATGCGAGCATTCCGAAGTTTCTCCCGGTGGCGCTGGGATGATTCTTGAACTTATCTTTGCCCCTTCCTGCTGCGGTCCATGACAGCGGGTGGCAAACACGGAGGGGATCCTGAAGCACAATTTAGGCATCCTAGATGGGGTCCGAATGGATGGGGTCAGAGGATCACGCCGCATCGCCGATGCATCGCCGATGCGGCTCGGTGTCGTGCCCGATTCGCTTGACGTCGACGTGGCCGATGCATCGCCGACGTCGGTGATGCATCGCCGGTGCATCGCCGATGCATCGCCGATGTATCGGCGATGCGGCACGACCGTCCGACCCTTCCGACCCCATCTAGGAGGCCTCTAGTAACGACGCCCGTTTGCAGAGTCAGTTCATGACAGCCAGCCCAGCATGTCCGTCCCGCTGGTGATTTCTCCCCCCACCTCGTTGTATTCACAAAGGTGCTCTCCTCCCCCCCCGCAGCCCCCCTCCAGAATCTGTACAGTGAAGACACATACCAAGAAACACCTGCTTGCCTCCAGGGTGCCCTGGTATTTCTTGGGCCTGGATGGTTTTGCTACGGCAAACGTGACGTTCCCACACCAACAATCAATGGACGTCCTGGGGTCTCAGGGTTGGGTCTCTTGTGGAAGGTTCCTTGTAGATTGGCCTCCACTGTAACTGGTCTGCCCTCCTCCCCTGCCTCCCTGCGTGTTAAAAATCGTAGCAAGTGTGGTTGGGAGGATCTTCCCTCGGCGGCCGGACCTGCGCGCGCTGCACGTAGTGTGCTCGCCCTGTCCCCCTCAAGATAGACCCCCGATCCTCTCCAAGGGTGCGTTGTGGCCAGGATTTCGAGCGGAGTTCAGCCGTGGCGACGAGAAGCACCGCGGAAGTCTCCGAAAAGGTGAAGCATTTTCACATGCTAGACCGTCTACCGTCTAACCTCTAACCTCGATCTTCCTCGCCTACCTCTTGTTCGCGCCGCGTGGAGGAAGCTACCAGCGCCTCCCTCGTGGTCTGGCTCTCGACCGCTAGCCCTCATCGACCCCTCTCTATTCGTGGCGATGCCCAGGCGAGTTGACTTGATTAAGGTAATGCGACTGTGTGACCATGCGCTGGAGTAAGTGCTGGATCGCAATGGTCAGACCCAGGAAGAGGACGAGAACGAGGAGGGGGAGGAGGAGGAGGAGGAGGAGGAGGAAGACGAGGAGGAGGAGGACGCTGAGGAGGAGGAGGACGAGGAGTAGCAGGAGGACGAGGAGCAGGACCGAGGAGGCGGACAAGATGGAAGAGGCGGACGGGCAGGAAGAGGACGAAGAGAAGATGACGGATGAGGAGGAGGAGAAGGAGGAGGAGGAGGAGGAGGAGGCGGAGGAGGGTGAGGACTCTGGCAGCCGTCTTGGGGTCTTCTGGAGACCCTCTCAGGGTCCCCTTTGAGCTCTCTCGCGGCTCGCGGCCCTCTTGGAGCCTTTTTTGGGGCGATCTGGGAGGGTCTTGGGGTCCTCTCTGGGATCTTCTGGGAGGTTTCCTCTGCGGGTCTTTGGGGAGCTCTGGAGGGCCACTTGGGGCCACCTCGGATAGCGTCGATCAAACAGGCGGGATCTTCGATCTGCCTTGCCCCCGTGGGACCATGAGAGTCTCCTCTAGGGGCCCTCTTTGGGGCGCTCCTGGGGCTCTCTGGGGCGGTCTCGAGGCCGCCTTGAGGCCTCGAGAGCCTGTCGGAAGCGAACAGGCGATTGAAGGGTGTTTGGCTTCTGGGGGAAGTCCTGAAGGGGGCTTCGGGAGCACCTGTAGTCGCTCTGTGGCCCTCTTGTTCTTGTGGGTTGGAGGTATGTCGGAAGCCTCAATGAACCATCATATTTTTGCTATCTTGAGCCGCCTCGGGGGCCATCTCGGAGCATCGGCTGCTCTCTTGGAGCCATCTCGGGCCAAGAAGGCCCCCTTGACACATCGCGGGGGGACCCAGGCAACCTCAGGCAGGGAAGGGGAGTGTGCCCCCTTCCCCGAATGAGAGAGGGCTCTGGCAGAGGAGAGGAACATCTCGTTAGACCACCTGCGCCCAGACCCTGAGCTCCGACGTTGCCAGACATTGCAAAATCGCAAGAATTCACGTCTGGACCTCCGGACCCCATCTTCCTGCGTCATTTTTCGAGCCGGAGCGACCTGTTAGGGTCCCGAGACCCGAAATCGAGCGAAAACGCCCGGCTCAAAAAGGCTGAATCGCCAGGATCTCGCGGGAGGGCTGTTGGGACTCATTGTCCCCTCCTCGTCCTCCCTGCTCGCGCCGCCCCGGCTGATGGGTGGGCTTGCCGGCTCTTCGATGACGCGGGCTGGTCCTTGTTGAAGGCGCGGCGGGAGGGTGACGTCCACCCCGAGGCACCGCCGCCACCCCGGGTCGTCGTCGTCGCCACCGTCGCCACCGGCCGACGCCGCCGTCGCCCCCGCCGCCACCGTCGACACCTGTTCTCCACCGAGTCGGCGAACGTGTCGACCCAGACATGATCGCGTCGTAAAGAAGTCAAGACGGAAGGTTTTTGACCAATTTCGGCTTCTGGGGGCCCTCACGGGGCCTCGGGGCAGTCAAAACACGAGTCAGGATGAAAAGCCAGTCCCTGGGAAAGGGTCGGGACTTCCAGGGACCCCTTTGTGAAAAAATCAGAGCGTCGCATGTCTGGGGAGCTTGCAGCCTTTCTCGGCAAGCAGTGCTTCGACACCGTGGCGCACAAGAGGTTGCCGAAGTATACACTACCTGCTCAGAGCGCTGATCATGTGATTGCACTGACGATCTGGTAGGGGGAGGCGTACCCCCCCATCCCCGAGCAGGGGAAGCAAGGGATGTGGACAGAGAGGAGGCAAAACTCGTGCAAGCACCTGGTCCCAGAGGGCTGGTGGGACTTCGTTTCGATCCAGTTGTCTTATTGGTTCCCGAGCTGGCTTCATGTTGTGGAATGTGGCTTGATACGGTTCGGTCCTCGGTTTTAGCCGGCTTGGTCTGGCTTTGCAGCTTGGGCCCCCTTGTTGCCGCAGTTTCAGAGCTTGCTGCAGGGTGACCCCGTCGCCATTTGCTTCAAATCTATCGTCTGCGGCATGGCTGCACACCACTACTGTCGGCACAGCTGCATTGGTGGGTCAATGGCCTCGGTCCCGCTCGCAGATGATGACCGCCATCTGAACCTCGAGATTGCCCGTCCACGCGGAGACGACTCCCCTGCTCGGACTGGCACTGAAGAGTCCGCGGTTTCAAGGACGCCTGCTGCTTTGGCCACGCTGCGCCAAGGTATCGGCTTGGCAACTGATCTGTACGATCTGTCTGTCGTCAACATTATCAGGCCAGAGTTCGAGAGCTGCTACGGCAAGCTGTCTCCGTGGGAAAACGGCGCCCTGACTTCGGCGTCGCACGGTGGCGCCATCGTGGGTCAGCTCCTCTTCGGTATTCTAGCCGACCTCCTCGGGCGCCGCGGCACCTTCATTGCCACCGCGGCCCTGATGTGCGTGAGCGCCGCTGGCGCCGCTGCCGCCGCGCCAGCTGGCCCCTTGGAGGCCTGGCAGGTGTTGCTGTTCTGGCGGTTCCTGCTGGGCGTGGGCATCGGCGGGGAGTACCCGCTGAGCGGCGCGGTGACCGCGGAGCACGCCTCTGCAGAGAGCTCGGCCTGGCAGATGGCGGGGCTGAACCTGTGCTTCCTGCTGGGCCAGGTGCTTCCAGGGCAGAAGCACGCTGACACAGAGATGTGACGGGATCCTGTCGACGCCGACCTTGGTCGTGGTCCATGCCGCCCGCCGCCGATGCGCGAGGATGATCCACGAGTCGACGGTGACCAACCCAGACCCCCGACGCCATGATTTTTTCACGACATCGCCCCCCAGAGGTCTGGACCCATTCCTCGCGACCGGTTCTTCATCCTGAGTCGTTTGTTGACGGTCCCGAGGCCCGGCCGGGGCCCCCGGAGGCCGAAGATATGGAAACAACGACGCGTCGTGATTTTCTCACAGCGCGAGGGGGTCTGGGAAAACGGAGCGTGGCCAAGATCGGCACCCACGGTCCCGCGTGCGGGCCTGGTCGTGGCCTTACCGCTCCCGCGGCCTCCAGAGGTGCTGGCGCCCCTGGTGGTGCTGGCCTGCTTCTACGCCGGGGTCTCGGACCAGGCGACGTGGCGGGCCGGCGTGGGAGGCGGCGCGGTCCTGGCCCTGCTCGGGGCCCTGCTCCGGGGCGCCACGATGTTCGGTGGCAAGTCCTGGGAGCCTGGTATACTCTCTGGATTCCGTCTTCAGCGTCGGCTGGCGTCGATGAGCGTCTGGGAGTCAGTGAAGCAGCGCCGAGTTAGCGCCGGCTGGCGTCGAATAGCGTATAGGTTGTTGAGTCGATGAGCGTCGATTTAGCGGTGATCAGCGTCGATTCGCAAGAGGCGACAAGGTGGTATGGGAGGCTCCCACGAGTTGCCACCGAAACGATGCAGGAGTCCGCGGCGTGGGCGGAGGCGCGGCGCGCGGCCGGGGCGCGCCGGGCGGAGGCCCGCGCAGCGGCGCTGCGGGGGGCGCTGCGGCCCCTGGCGGGGACGATGCTGGCGTGGCTGGTGTACGACGTCGTCGGCTATGGCCGAAGAAGAAAACACGCCATGAACATGTATAAACTTTTGGCGCTCCGCGCGGGTTTCTTGGATCCGCGCTGCGCCCCCCCGGCGGCGCCAGAGGCGCCGCCCCCGGCGCGCTCCGCGCGCCAGGCAGGGGGTTCCAGCGCAGGTCCAAGAAATCCGCGCGGACCTCCAACAGTTTTGGTTGGTGTGGTTTTTTGTTCCTCCACATGGCGCGGGCGGCTACACCACCACGCTCTTCCAGGCCGAGTCGCGCGAGGGCACCCTTTGGAACGTTCTGAAGATCGTTGCGCTGTCGGCTCCCGGCTACTTCTTCACCTTTTGCATCGGCCGTTTTGGCCGCCGCTGTTTTCAGTGCGTGGGGTTCACTGTGATGGGGATCGCATTCTTTCTCATGAGTTTTCTTTACGGCCGTGGTGTTGGCGGGCTCGAGGTGATCATCTTCGGGGTTCAGAAGAGCTTCGACGCGATGGGCCCTGGAGCCACAACCTTCATCATTCCGGCCGAGATTTTTCCGACTGTGATCCGGGCCTCTTGCCACGGGTTGTCCGCAGCCTCTGGGAAGGTGGGCGCTTTCGTGGGCACCCTCTTTTTGCCTCCAGTGCAGGATGCTGTAGGCTTCCAGATGGTCCTCGCTGGATGCGGCTTGTTGTGTCTGCTGGGACTGCTCTTGACCTTCGTTCTGACGCCCCCGTACGACGCAGAGACGCTAAGGGTCTTGGCAGAGACCGCCAAGACGGATCCAGGCGGCACGACGAGGATATTGTGGTCTCGCCGCAGAGGCACCCTGTCAGATTCGGCCAGCGTGCGTAACGTGGGGTGATGAGTTGGGAAAAAGGCTGCGGCATGGGGGGTATTGGCCTACATGGTCTAGGCGAGGACAGTTCTCGATCCGCCTTCGCGATTTCCGCCTTCGCGATTTCCCATCTCTGCTTCCCTCCCGCTTCTCGACCCCTTCCCCTGAACTTGTTTTTATTCCGCGCATTTTTCAAAGGCCCATCAGTTCGAAGAGGTTTAGGCCGAAATTGAGGAGCACACAGGCCGTCAATATTTTACATTGGTGCCAGCCCCACCCGGCTCGAAGGTCCCAGTAGGCCTTTGGAGTCTCTCGGTGCCCGAGAGGCATCGGGGGCCCCGAGGAGGGCTGTCCTTGCCTCACTCGGGGGCTGCGCGGCTCATGCGCCCCCCCTGCTGCGAGCAGATCATGCCCGCGAGCGATTGCCACGAGGTGCCGCCCAATGTTATATGTCGCGTCCCCTGGAAGGCTTTTCGCGGCGGCCTCTCTCCTTTTCCGCATCCACGGGGTAGAACTTCCTGGCTGTCTTCACGCGTCGAAGTAGATCTCGAGCTTCTTCAAAACTGCGCTGCTGAGCGGGGAACGCCTGCTCTGCCTGCTCGATCTCCTCTGCGCTGGAGAGCGGCTCCTCCGGTTTGTCGTCGTCCTCGTTCTCGGTGCCGACCGACGTCTCGGACTGCTCGTAGTGGATATGATCTTCAGCGTCTGGTTCTTCTTCGTCTTGTTCCCATCCAGCGCGTATGCGTCCGCGGTCTCGGTGACGGCCTTGGCGCTCCTTCCCTTTCCTGTCACGTCTCGTCAGCTCGTCGTCTGGCCACGATGCGCGCAGTTGCTCGCCGATGCTCTCGTAGTCGAAGTTCCCCGCGACGGCGCTGACGACCGCTGCGCGCTCGGTCGGCGTCGGCCGCGAGCGCTGTAGAAGCAGCCAGCCGCGTAGTTGATCCAAGGGAATCGCCTACTGGAAGTTCGTGCCAAAGTCAGGATGTTCCGGTATCTCCTCGAGGCTTGTTTTGGTGAAGTTCCACAGCCAGTCGTCAAGTCTCCTGGCCTCATCTGCGGCGTCGTCCGGGCCCTCGTACACTATCCTGTTGAGAAACCAGTTCAGCTCCTGGTAGAGAGAGTTCCACACCTTGGCCCTTACCGACAGCCGCTCCATCTTCTGGCGCTTGAACTACTCGGTGTCGAAACCCTTGACCACGTCGCGGTGCGCCCCGTCGCCCCTGCTGATGTAGCTCGGCATCGGCTCACCGATGTCCCTCCGCAGGTCGAAGACCCATCGTGCCAGGCACTTCCCGGCGTCCTGAATCGGTTGAACTCCGAGCTTCGACCTGATGTGCCTCAGTAGGAAGTCAGCGCCGTTGTCCGACTCGAGCTTGTCCGAGTCGATGTCTTTGGCAGCTTGACGAGCGCGGCCCTCCAGCTTTCGCCAGAGCTTTGGTCCGCATGCGTAGCGCTCGTCTTGGCGCGCCCCACGAATGTAGGCCTTGACGTCTCTTTCATAGTCGTCCACCGTGTCCCCGTTCCACTTGGGAATCACGTCATCAAAATTCTTCGCCGTGATGACCGTCCGTGGAGCTCGAAGGCTCCGCTACCATGCAATGGTCCCGGTTAGACCACTGCCGATAGCATTGAGTATTGATATCCTCGATCTCCTGATTGATGTAGTGTTCGTTGTCTCTATCTCGTTTGGAATCTCTTCTTAACGATGTTATGGCAGTGGCAAGACCTGCGCGATGCTGGTCGCGCTCGAGACGATGGACAGAACTGTTTCTGTGCAGCGGGTACAATAGCTGTCCTGCGATTCTCGACCGCACGTCTGAAAGTCCAGCAACGCTGAGTTGCTGCAAAGGCTTTAGCCAGAAAGGTTCTGGCAAGGACCATTCTGTCGAAACATGGTAGGCCTCCCCGGGCCTCTTTGGGAAAGACCTCTTCGGGCCTTCTCTGGGAAAAGAACGGAGAGACGATTAGCTCGGTTAGGGTGCAATTCTTGAGGCCAGAAAGGGAACCTGCTACGCCAGGGAACGCGAACTTACATGAGTTATGGCAAATCTGTATTAGGTTCCTTGGAGCCATATCTTGAAATGTGTAACACGCTGTGCTTCGGTGGGCCATCTGTCGTAACTCGGCACAGGGAGGTAGGCCCTGGGCTGTGAATTGCACTCTTTTCATGCACCCCGTCATGCCTCTCTTGAGGCACATGCGCTCCTCCTCCCCCTTTTCCTCCCCCTGCTCCTCTCTGTCTTCCTCGCTACTCGCTTCCGCCCTCCAGACTGTGCCTCCTCCTTCGTCCCCGGCTTTCTTTGCCCACGTGCCCACCCTCCCTCTTCCTCCTCCCCCGTCCTACACATTTGTTTTGTCTCCACAGCTCTCTCCCTACCCCCCCGCTCCTCGCCTCCCTCCCCCCACCCCGCTCCATCCCCTCCCTGTTTCAGTCCTCCCCGTCTCATTTCCGTCCCGGCCACCCCTCCTCCGTCTCATTTCCGTCCCGGCCACCCCTCCTCGCTTCCTTCCCGGCTCCCTTCCTCAGCTCATCTCCCCTTTCCTCTCCCTCGTTCCCCCTCCTCTTCGCCCCCTCTTCGCCCCATCCCCCTCCGATCCCTCCTCTCTTCCAGCGCGCTGGGCGAGGGAAGGGGGGGGCCCTCCTCCTTCTCCTTCCCATCTTCTCGCCCTCTCCTCCCTCATTCTCCTCCCTCCTCCCTCCTCTTCCTCCCCCTCGCCTCCTGCTTGGGTTGCAGTCGCTTTCGTTTTTACCGCCTTCGTCTTTGCGGTCGCAGACGACGACGAGCGACGATGCAGAAGCGCGCCGCCTGTCAGGCAGTCAAGATGATGGGCTTGGAGGAGGTGCCGGAACCACCGGAGCGGCCCAGGCCGACGACGCCACCAGCGCAAGCCGTCGTGCCAAGCTCAGAGAAGGAGGTGGGAGGAGGAGGAGGAGGAGGAGGAGGAGGAGGAGGAGGAGGAGGAGGAGGAGGAGGAGGAGGGGTGGAGGTGGAGGTGGGCCGCCGAGGACGAGGGACGAGGACGACCGGCCGGGGGGATCCCTCCGACGCCCCACGGCGTGGCGCTCCCGTGGCCCGCCGGTGCGGTGGCTGTCCGCCTCCGCGGCGTGCTGCTCTTGGCGCGTGGCACGCGCCAGCGGCGGGGTGCCTTACGCAAGCGGCGCCGGCTTGCTGAGACCTGCAGCGCTTCGAGGTTCGTTGGGGGGGTGGCCTTCCTGGGGCCCCCCGAGCGGATATGTTCGGTTGTGTACAGTCGAGCATCTAATTAAGAAACCTCCTCCCGAAAAGCTGGGCCGGCGTGTCTTAATGAACTCGCTGGAGAGCTGGCCCAGTTTCTGGAGTTCCTCCGCCGCTCCATCGCGAACAACTGAGATTGACCCAGATGTAGTTGAGAAACTTCCGGGAAGCGTGGCCAGGTGTCTCCACTGATCGGTTTCTTGATCATAGCTCTGGCTGTAGCTCAAGCCCAGCTCGACCGTGACTCCGCTCCAGCTCGGCCCCAGTTCGGCTCGACTTCGAGGCAGGGCGGCGGACGTTCGACGCGGCATCGGCGCACGCGGGGAGCGACTGGCTCCAGGCAGGTCCCCAGAACGAGCCCCTGATGAAGCACCGCACCGTTGTGTGCCGTGCTGTGCACCGCGGCGGTTCCCCGTCCGTCGTCCGCCTCCGCGGCGTGAAAGTCGCCGGCACGTCTCGGCCGTTCGTCTGGAGTTGGGTGGACCTGCTCATTCCCCAATAGGCTCGTCCTTTGCCTCCCTGGCCGTCCAGTCTTTATTGAGCTCCTTGGCATCGTAGGCCCTGTCGGCGTCCGTCGGCCTGTCGGTGATCCAGGAAGCGTTAAGTCGGGCGTCTACAGGAGGAATATTCACAAATAGTCCAAAAATAGTTCAGGGACGATTTGTTTCGTAATTTGTGTTATTTTTGTTTGTTTTGTTTCTTATTTTTTGACTTTTCGATGCCCGACCTAAAGGAAGCGTGCTCTCGCTTCAGCGCTGACCACTTCACTTGGCCAGGGGTCGACGCCCAGATGCCCTCCCCGACATGATGAAAAGGTGTGCTCAGATCAGTCGGTTGAGCTTTGCCCCTCATCCCTCACCCTCTTCTAGTTCCTCCTCATTTCTCATCCCCTTCCTCCATCCCCCGTCCGCTCCCTCCCTCCTCCCTCCTCCCCCATCATCCGTGCTCCCTCATGCCTCCTCATGCCACCTTCGCGGGAAACTCTTCTCGGGTATGGCGCTTCCGATCAAGGATTTCTGTCAAGCTGCAAAGGAATCGTGATATCGCTTCTTCGGCGCCAGCTACGTTCTGCTCTGGTCAAGAGGTGCCAGCACCATCTCCCAGATCACGCTACGATTGTATAATTTGATTAGAATAGGTCAGGCATGTACCCCTGCAGGCGGATTTTGGACGAACAATGAAACATTTAATAAATATTTCAACTATTCAAAAACTAATCCAAAAATCGTCACCATACTATGTTTTGTCTATTTTTGGGTATTCCTCCTGTAGAGGGACACGCCCGACTTAAGATTAGAAACGTTCGTTCCAGCCTGACGCCACCAGAGTCCTTCCCTGGAACTCGGAGCGGTAAGGACGTCTTCGGTGAAACGAGCGAGGGCACCTCGCGCGCGGAATCCCGGAGCCCAGAATTGCAAGGGTCTCTACGATGAAACGGGCCAGAACATCTCATGCTTGGTACCTCGGATCCCAGAGTTGCGAAAATGTCTCAGGCGAAGCGGGCCGGAGCACTGCGAGGATGTCTCTGGCAACACTGGCTAGAGCATCTCGCGCAGGGCGTCTCGGAACCCAGATTTGCTGCAAGGATTTGTCGCCTCGCACATGTACCTGGGAGCCCAGAGTCGGGCGACATGCGCCTGAGCACCTCGCGCCCGCATCTCGGAGCCCAAAGATGCGATGATGCTTCGGGCGGCCAGACCACCTCGCGTACGGCATCTTGGAACCCAAAGTTGCGAGAATGTCTGCTAGACCACAGCTCGCGCGGCATCCCGGAGCCCAGAAATGCGAGGA